ACGCAACTTCCTATTTTAGGGGAAATAATTATGTAAAGTAAAGAATTCTGTATCTTAGAATTATGAATATCTTCAATTTGGTGAACATCAGCAAATTAACGGTTGAACGATTTCTATACCATAACCGGAATTCAAGTTTTAGTCTGCTTAACATAAATCAAAAATTGCATGTTTAACAAAACATTCGGCAATATTATGGAGTTTTAAGGGTTTTTTACTGTTCATCATAAGTAATGCAGCAATATTTCAAAAAATAAACTCTACTTTCGTTTCCCGAAACCATGCTAAGGCTACTTGAAAATGGTTTATGTACGCATTTCCATTGCTCTAGCTGGAAAATTTCAATGTAAAATAGATGGAGAGTTCCTGATGCGAAATTTCACTACATTTCGCCTCAACAGGGTCTTACGTATCATATGCTTTAAAGACAGTCCTTGTACCGGAAGTCCAAGGGTGACTACAATGCTCTTAAGTAGAGAAAATTCGACCTAATTATCTGAAAAAAACGGGCATTTAAAAATGTCAAAGAATAATTCCTTCGCTGAGATCTTGATATTAATGAACCTATTGTATCGTAGAAATTAATCCGAAATTGTTATTTAGGGCAGTCATGCACGTTTTACTTGAATGGCTGGGAGAGGGTGTTTAAACAGTCATATTTTACTTAGTAAACAGATCAACATTTAACGTTAATTTTTATCAAATCTCTGATGTTCTGAAAAATGAATTTAGCCTTACTTTATTCGCTTTTGAAAATCATAAGATAAAAAATACAACATTTGTAAATTACTGCGTTTCTTTTGCGTGTCAGTATACCATTTTCTTTTATATATTTATTTCAACAGAAAAACAATCGACTCCAAGACAATCGACACACAAACCACTCTAGGAGCACAACGCATATTCAACTAGATCGCTGCTTAATTGAGGACATCTACATGATTTAATAATGATTTACCTCTACCAGAAAAGTGCAGATATTTGTCTCTTCCTGATGTCTCCTTTTCCTTGTGGGGATTCGGGTTAGAATAGGTCCTAAGTACGCCCTTGGTTGTCGTAAAAGGCGACTAAATGGGGCGGTCCTTCGGATGAGACCGTATAAACCAAAGCCCCGTGTCACAGTAGGTGTGGCACGATAAAGATCCCTCCCTGCTCAAAGGTCGTAAGTGCTGAGCATAGGCCTTAATTTGCAGCCCTTCACTGGCAATGGTGACGTCTTCATATCAGTGAAATATTCTTGATAGGGACGTTAAACAGTATACAGTCAATCAATCCTGATGTCTCTGTAGCTGAATGTAGGGGCTTTGTAGATCTTTTTTTTCCTTTTCTACTTCTTGGAGTATTTGCTCTGGGTGGATTCCATACAAAAGTAAACTCTCTGTCCACATTTTGCGTTCATTTGCTGGCCAATAGTTTTAAACACCATCTGCATGGACCTCAATGTTTTCCTGTACCAATCACCATGAACCTAAAAAAAAAATCAATACAATAAATGGTACAGTATCACATTTGCAGACAGACAGACACACAGACATTAAACACGTACAATTTTACCATATTCCTTTTATGCCCATTACTTGAAATTAATTTATTTAAAAAATGATTAATTTGCTCCCACCTGAAATCACACTGTTTACATTGGTAATTAAGTTTATTCAGCAGAATAGGTAAAAATCATGTTTTACTGACAATAATTGAACATTCAACAAATACATGTAATGCAATTGCTAAAAAAATATGAGAAAAATCAGTTAATGAGCATGTTCATACACATCGTTTAACTCCCAGACAACTGTACCCAGCTTGACCGCGCAACTGATCTGAATTGAAATGATGTATGTCAAGTACGCATATGTGATGTGCCGATCATCGACATGCTCCAAAAACATTAAATTGTTATTTAAAAATATCGTACTAAGGTATACCTCTTACCTCCTGTGTAAAATACAAATGCCCATCACCTATATACTGCTTAACACTGCCCTGAACAGTTTTGATAACTTTCTGCTAAGTCTACTTTCACTTCGACCTTGACCTCGATTGAATACCGATCCCGAACTCATTTGTGAATTTTTGTGTATTGAAAATAAACCACAGTGGAGCATGTACTTCTACATAATTGCTTCTTAATCAAATGATACATTTACGATTCTGAATAAATGAATTATATAAATCGATACATTTAATCTACATGATACATGTGTTAACAATGGGCGATACATGCTGACTGTTCCGGGGAGGGGGGGGGGGGGCTAGACACTTTATTTATGAATCAATTTGTTTAAAAATGTGTATCAACAATAAAAGAATTGTTTTTTTTCATAAATTTGAACAATTAAAAATAATAGAAAACAACAACTTTGAAATAAATTCAAGATTTATGACATCTTTCACTTACTTATAGGCTTCCTAATATGGGTACAGTCCACTAATTGTTTTTCCATAGGCGACAATGTTAACGTTTCTTCTCATAGCGATGTCCCTAATTTTCGTTCGGTAGTGAGTGACCCCTCAAATCAAAGCACATCAACTTGTCTTTCCTTGGTTAAAATCTCGAGGTGGCATGTCAGATTCGTTTTCCGGCAAAATGCGTCTGTCTGCGGGAACCTCTAAAAATAAAAGTGAAGGTAGGGGAATTTCAGAATTTTCACTGGCGTTATAATACATAAAATAATTCGGCTGATCTTCTTGATAAATTACATTTTCAAAGCTTTTTAGGTAGGAAAGATACTCCTTATCAACAAGTGTGAGGCTCAGTTCAGTACACCTGCCCAATTTTTTTTATGCAAGTCTGCAATTTAAGGAACTTGTAATTTTTTCTGCACTACTTTCTTCTCCTACCGATTCTAAAAATAATTAGTGGGATGTACCCAGTTATACGTCTTTTCAATTAATGTAGCTTGGTTTTTAATTTTCCAATTAAGAGGTTCTGGGTCTACAATAAATGAAAAAATACCCCGAATTTTAATCTGACATTGGTGTGTTTTAGCAATTCTGTTATTCAATTTTGATTGGTGTTAAAATTCCTGTGCAGTTTTCTTGACATGTGATTTGGTCCAATCAATTTTAGCCAAGACTTCGGATTTAAAAAAAAACACATTTCAACTACTCTACCTTCCTTTTTAAAAATATTTTTACACTCAATATCATCATTGCATGTAATTATTTTTTGTCGTTGTTGAATAAGAAAAATAAGATCGTTGTTGAATAAGAAAAATAAGAAAGAGTCGTAAATCTGAATTTTAAACAACAGTTCCATGTTTTATTAAGTTTAACTGAAAACTTATATTGTACATGGAACAGAATAATCGTCTAAGTGTTGAATAATTTTATGTATTTAATCCAAACACTCTTAAGTCGTTTTAATGTGTAATGCACATGTAGTTTGACAACAATCAGAGACAGATATGTTATGAAATAGACGAAAGTCATGAAAGAAAATAAGCAAAAAGCACAATGGAGAAAATTCTGTGACGTAAAACAAAGCATATAGCTGGAACGCAGTCAGTGCGCGATATATTTTGATCGCAGTTTTTGTTGCAAAACAATGACGTCGCTTTTTCTATTGTGACGTAAAATTTTGTCAGATTACATAAGGGGGGTTTTTGCTTGGAACGGCTCATATGATGATTTGTAAAGATCACAACTGTCTGAGGAAGACTTTTGCTCTACCAATTTGTACTTTAAAAAGTAGCACTTCAGACTAAACTATGCAACAGCAATAAATAAAATAATCCTTGGTTTATTCTTTTTTATATCAATTAACATTGATTTTTATTTATTTATTTTGCTTTTCAATTTTTTATTTGAACCATAACCATTAAAAAGCTTTCTTTGAATTTAAAACAAAAGGCAGAATTTCATGAAGCGTTGTCTACTAGTCAGTAGTGTGCTATGTTATAATATCAGACCAAATTAGGGGAGGAGTATGGATTTGAGAATTGAGAGACAGACAAACACCTTACCATTGCATGAACTCTCTGACTAGTAAAGTTTTTAAAAGTTGAGTATTTGCAATGACTAGAATAAACAACACTGGATGAAAAATACAGTTTCCGCATGGCTGAAACTCTACTGAAACTCTGCAGAAACTTAAGGTTACTAATAGTTTCTGCAAAGTTTCAGTGCGGAAACTTCAAGTTTCATCAAGTTTCCGCAGTGCGGAAACCAAAGGTGTCCACGAATCCAAATAGTTTCCGCAACTGAAACTTGAGGTATACGCAAGGTTTCAGCATGCGTATACTGTTGAAATACATATGGTGTACCATAGGTTTCCGCAACTGAAACTTGCTGAAACTTGAGGTATACGCAAGGTTTCAGCATGCGTATATGGTTGAAATACATATGGTTTACCAATGGTTTCCGCAACAGAAACTTGCTGAAACTTGAGGTATACGCAAGATTTCAGTATGCGTTTACAATATTGATATACATAGGGTATACTATAGGTTTCCGCAACGGAAACTGTAGTATTGACTACACAATTTAGCCTTGGTTTTCAACCAAAAGTCATTTTCCCCCTGAATTCTCATATTGGAAAAAACAACAACACACTAACACTAGTTATCAAAGAATATTTAATGTTATTATCAACATTTACATACATCGGGTAGAACATTTATTTTCTCTTGCATCATAAACATTTTTACAGCTAAGTCCAAGCCCTCAAGTCACGACAGGAGGACAGAGAAAATGTCTGCAATTAATGATGTCTCATACATCAGAGATATAATCTTGCGAGAGGAACTTAGAACTGCATTATTGCAATAAATCTGAATTCGGTTTATGCAAGTATAGTATTATCAAGGAAATGTAAAATTACTTGGTATAATAAATGCACAAGTTCACATCATAAGTAGCCAATAAGCACCAAGGTGGATTCCTTTGTTAAAAAATCAGTTTGTAGTCCATCATCAACCAACAGAAAAGTCCTTAATGAGTGGTTCTCATTTTTTGATGACCCACTTACACTTATCATGCTTATGCTAGTGGTAGCTGCATGTTTTCGGAACTGTGCAACACATCAATGTAGTCTGCATGTATGACCTGTTCCAGTTTCAGTCGACTTTAAAAATGTCAATGCTTGAGTATAGAGAGACTTGTTTTCATCATTGGAGAAATGATATCATGTTCAAGTTGGATTGATCTGCTCATCAGTTACTTCAACCTATTGAAAATATATATAAATATAGTTTAACAAAATCCCAATCTAAATAAAACAACATGTTAGATCCTCTCGCATACTCGCTACACAACATCTAACAACATCCCATAGAAGGTCACGTCAGATGTCAAATACGGAACAACTCTAGAATTATTCATTTCAATATATGAAAAACAATAATTTTGCAGTTGACTATTTGATTGGTTAATAGAATTTGACCTCTGACGAGACACTCTACAGGATGTTGTTAGATTTAGGCAGTATCTAACATTTAATATTAATTGGATTGACTAAGTCCCTAATGCTGTTCTAGTACAAGCCTTTGTTTGATTATTTCACATTTTAAGCATTTTTTTTTATCAGAATGATTTAAAATGAAATCTAAAAATTTATCAAGTGTAAAATATGATTAGTTTATTAAGGTCAAAGGAGACGTTCCTCAAAATCTGTTTTGTATATCTTCGTAATGTATGAAAAATATTCAAAATTCTAATAACATTCTTATTTCTAAACCAGTTTCTAAACGTCTTTAAAAAATCCAAATCCTTAAAGATTTGAAACTGGAAAATTATTTTTCTTCCCCAAAGGATTATATAAGAAAAACTACCCCTGGTATTTTGCAGAAATGCCTGGTAAGGTACCTCAATTTTTTGTGAGTAAACATGTTTAAGTAGCAATACTTCAATGACAAACTCCTAGAAAAATTTATCTATTATTAAGGAACGTCTCGTCTGTCCTTAAAGTTGCCTCTTTTAAACACTTGACTAGGAAAAAATTGAATTGATTTAAATGTACCTGAATATGTATGTATAGATTTGTTCCTGATTTTCAGAATAAATTAAGGAATTTTCTTTCATTCTACTTGTTCATCAAAATATTTTTTTAACTGAATAGCAGCTAGAGGCCCACAGACCTAATAGGTATCATGTAACAACTTTCACTCCATTGAATTTGGTTTGTGTTTTAAACAAGAAGCCATGAAATTCCAAATTTTGAAAGACGCACCATTGTTTATCATAATTATACACTTAGCATGCTTACTTTGGTTACTCAATACCCAAAGGTGGATCAGAGTAATAAAGATAAAATGCAATTCCATTTTGAAACCACCAGTTGTGTACCCCACCCCACAGGAACCACTAACCCTAGGGCCACACATTTCAACATTTTCTAAATGTTATCTTAAGTTTTATTTCATCATAAATGGTTGATTAATTCCAAAGAGCTATATGGACCAATCCTAGTACTACCCCTGCGAAATGATATTCATGATTTTAAGAACCTTTATGAGTTGTTCATAATTGTTCATGAATGGTTCTTAAAGGTTTCTTAACAGGTTCATAAAAGTTGTTCATGAATAAAATTCATGAAAACATTCATAATTCATAGTTCATGAACAAATGATGAACAGATATGAATATTGTTAATTTTCAGTTTAAAGAAAAAACCTTAATAGTTCAAGGTAATGAATGTTCATGAATTTTCATGAAGACTAAATATGTAAAAATAATTGTCAAAAACGATCTCCAGAAAACACTCATTACTCCCATAATACAACTTTTGCATGCAGATGCAATTGTTGAACAAACCCCTGATTTAATTAATGACATGCTTTTGTTTTGATTTTGAAAGTATTGGATCAGAGACAAGTAGGAGAACATAAGAGGTTAAAATCACTATTTTCTACTCTCCGTATCGGTAACTTAGATTCTTCAGGATAATAAAACTCTGTTATGTACTGTCTAGAAGGGAGATTGTAATTAAATTATGATCTTAATTTAAAGAACACTGCATCAATATTGACAGCATTTTTTTTCTCATATTGAATTGCTAATGTTTCTTCATCATTTAAAATGGCCAGCTATATTAATATTGTGCTTTAAATTATCTCATTTTTCACGACACAACTTTGTTCGACCGAATTTTCTCTATTTGCCAAACTTTTAACAAGTTGTGAGAAAATGAAACAGACTTATAGTCTACGAAAAATTTCATGATCTTCGTAAAAACGTATCTTAGATTTATTTACAGCTAAAAAATCATATCTCTTGTCCGTACTATTCTTGGGTCAAACGCTTTATATTTTGATGCAGTTATCAAGTCACATTTTTCTGTCCATCGTGTGTAAATGATACAGCACAGGCTACATGGTTGTGAAGTATCTATGACATGACCCACATTCGTATTTTGTAGTCTATTCTCCTATACACTATATACCTATACATAGCTCAGGGTACTCTGTTTGATGGCGAGTGGTTCCCAAGATTTATTTGTTGTCCTCATGATTTGGGGGCGGCCATACTTGAAAATACGAAACTGTGGCTCTTTAGGTATAATGTAAAAAATCCAATTCAATAAATTATTTAACTTATATTAATTTAAAAAAATTAATTTCAGTGAAAAAGCATTCAGATAGTGTTTGTTATTTTTTGTTTAACAACAATCTTGGCAATTCGAAACTATTTCTTAATTAGCTCTGCATGACACTTTTTAAAAGGCGCAAACTTTGAAACGCGCGAGACATTGGAAAGTGAATCGGTAGAGTCGGAGGATTATTAGCGTAGATCTAGTCATTCTTTGTCAACCTTTGAAGAAAATAACAGAATATGAAGAAGGAAAATCCAGAGGATCAATTTACTTAATAACTGCAGATATTAATGGTGAGTTACAAAAAAATGGAGGCAATCGCTGAATCTGAGATATTTGTCAAGATGTTACTGTCTATTTGTAAGAGTTCAGTTATGTCTTTTTCAATGAAAATTTTGTCAAACTGTGTTATGAGTAAGGATCCAACCAAATTACGTTACATTTAATTATTATGTTCCCCAAACGAAGTTGGGGAACATATTGTTTTTACTCTGTTTCTTATTATTATTATGTTCCCCAAACGAAGTTGGGGAACATATTGTTTTTACTCTGTTTCTTATTATTATTATTCTTATTATTATTTTTCTTCTTCCTGGGAAAATTTTGTCCACGAGTAATCTTGTAAACTACACATCCGACTTAGGTGAAACCTTTTTAGGGTCAGTAGGCATGTTATGTAGAGTTGCCAAACAAAGGTCATTTTGCGCGCACGTGCTCGCAAGAGCGCGCACGTGCAACAGGTGAAATTACCAATATAATGGATATTGCCGTAACTTTTCTATTTTTTGATGAAATTTTTTGAAACTCATAATGTAAGGATACATTAGTAGTATAGACAAGATAGCATGGTCAAAATAGCAACATCTCACGCGCATGCACGTGCGCTTCGCTCTGATTGGCTGAAACTAAAGTCTCAATAACTTTCTTGTTTCTTGTCATAATCCTTTGAAATTTTGAACATAGTCCTACATTATGAAGATCTACCGCATGATATATAAGAATTTTCATGAAAGCATGCGCATGTGCGCGTGCTGCAAGCTGATTGGCTGAAATTTTAAATGGCAATATCTCCTTTGTTTTTTGACGAAATTCTTTGAAATTTAAAATATAGTCATGCATTAGGATATCCTACAAACTGATATAGAAAAAAAAATCATGAAATCACGCACATGCACGTGTGCTGCAATCTGATTGGCTGAAACTTAAAATGGCTATTTCTCCATTGTTTTTTGACGAAATTCTTTGAAATTTAAAATGTAGTCATGCATTAGGATATCCTACAAAATGATATAGAAAAAAAAAAATCATGAAATCACGCGCATGCACGTGTGCTGCAATCTGATTGGCTGAGACTTAAAATGGCTATTTCTCCATTGTTTTTTGACGAAATTCTTTGAAATTTAAAATGTAGTCATGCATTGGGATATCCTACAAAATGATATAGAAAAAAAATCATGAAATCACGCGCATGCACGTGTGCTGCAATCTGATTGGCTGAAACTTTAAATGGCTAGAACTCCCTTGTTTTTCAACCAAACAGGATGGGATTTAGAACATAGATAGATGTAAGGGACTCCTACAAGAAGGTATGATCATCATGCAGTGCACGCACGTGCGTGCATTTGAAACGAGTATATTCAAAAATACTCTTGAATGAGTGATTTTTATTACTTTTGGACTGAATGCTTTAATATATAGTATATTAAAATATATAAATAGTGTAGACAAGATAATATGGTCATAACGCACATGTATTCACATGCGCTTGGGTGCAATGCTAAAAATTGAATATAATTGGTATCCTTCTGGGAACACGTTGTTAAAGTCAAAAATGCACAGAGTTTGTCTTATTTAATGAAGCTTACAGGGAATATGGCACCGAAAGGGAGTTGGGGAGCGTTTGGGGAACATCTGTAACGGTTCCCGTTACAATTAGCACTAGTTATTATTATTTTTCTTCTTCCTGGGAAAATTTTGTCCACGAGTGATCTTGTAAACTACACATCCGACTAAGGTAAAATGTTTTTAGGGTCAGTAGACATGTTATGTAGATTTGCCGAACGAAGGTCATTTTGCGCGCACGTGCTTGCAAGAGCGCGCACGTGCAACACGTGAAATGACCAATATAATGGACATTGCTGTAACTTTTCTTTTTCTCGATGAATTTTTTTGAAACTCATAATGTAAGGATACATTAGTAGTATAGACAAGATGGCATGGTCAAAATAGCAAGATCTCATGCGCATGCACGTGTGCTTCGCTCTGATTGGCTGAAACTAAAGTCTCAATAACTTTCTTGTTTCTTGTCATAATCTTTTGAAATTTTGAACATAGTCCTACATTATGAAGATCTACAGCATGATATATATAAATTTTCATGAAAGCATGCGCATGCGCGCGTGCTGGAATCTGATTGGCTTAAACTTTAAATGGCTATATCTCCTTTGTTTATTGACGAAATGCTTTGAAATTTAAAACATAGTCATGCATTAGAATATCCTAAAATATGATATAGAAAAAAAATCATGAAATCAGGCGCATGCACGTGTGCTGCAATCTGATTGGCTGAAACTTTATATGGCTTTATCTCCTTTGTTTTTTGACGAAATGTTTGGAATTTTAAAATATAGTCATTCATTTAGATATCCTTCAATACGATAAAGATAAAAATTTATGAAATCACACGCATGCATGTGTGCTGCAATCTGATTGGCTTAAACTTTAAATAGCTATAACTCCCATGTTTTTCAACCAAACAGGGTGGGATTTAGAACATAGATAGATGTAATGGACTTCTACAAGAAGATATGGTCACCATGCTCATGTATGCACGTGCGCGCACGTGAAATGAGTTAAATCAAAAATACACTTGAATCAATGAGCGTATTTTTAAATACTTTTGGATTAAATACTTTAATATTTAGTATATTAAAATGTATAGATTGTGTAGACAAGATGATATGGTCATTACGCACATGCATTCACATGCGCACGCGTGCAATGCTAAAATCTGAATGAACTTGGCGTTGTTAAAGTCTCAAATGCATAGATTTTGTCCTATTTAATGAAACTTACAGGGAATATGGCACCAAAGGGAGTTGGGGAGCGTTTGGGGAACATCTGTAACGGTCCCCGTTACAATTAGCACTAGTTAAAGATTGGAAAATCCATCCTGTTCACCTATAACATCTTGAACATGGCGGGCAAGGAAAACAGGCTAAACTCCCGCTCGGAATGCTTTAAAATATGGCAGTGCCTATGATGCAGAATTAAATGAAACAATTTTGCAAAAAAAAAAAAAAAAAAATTAAGTCTTAAGTTTTCACATTTATGAGCATTTTCAGAAAATCTTTGTTCTTGTAGGGAAAAGAGAAGCAGTTCACAGATAATGTTGATGAGTTGAGATCAGAAGATTAAAAAACTCTGGCTGCCAAAAAAAAAAAAATCCTGGATCTTGAAGAAAAACAAAAGAAAGGAATGAAAATATGAATCGTAATCGATCAAAGTATCCAAGTGATGAAATTCTGAAAATTCCACAGGGAAAGCCAATAAGATTTTTTTATTTGACCATCTCTTCTCAAAATCTTTGAAAGCCCTTTTAGCTGTTGCCCTAATTGCTGAACACACTTATCTGCCAGACAGTGAGACTTGGATTAAAAACCATTCCATTTTAAGCATACACTTTGAAATACGCTGAATAAGGAACCCACACTCCTCTTGACCAAGTAAGGTTAAGGATTCTGCAGAGTCGCGTTAGAATTAAAATTTTTCATAATTTTACTAGGAATGAACTACATAATTTTATTTATTATCGATATCACTTATCAGAGTTGTTTACTTGAACAAAGATTTTGTAACCATGATTGGAAAACAAAAATTCTGTGAAATCATTGAAGATGCTATTAAAATATTTTCTTTTACAGTTTTTCATTTTGCATAATTTATTACATTTTTGTTTAAAAAAAGCAAGAACATTCATGAATAGTTCATGAACATTCCTAAATAACTTTTACAAATTATTCATGATTAGTTCATGAAAATGCATTGAACCTATTAATATCATTCATGAAGTTTTCTTGAAAGTTCAAGAATATAATTCATGAAGTTTTCTTGAAAGTTCAAGAATTATTCTTGATCATTTTGCAGGCAATTAAAAAATCCAAGTTTGTTCATGAACAACAAATAATTCTTGAATATTCTTGAACTTGGTTTTCATGAATAAAATCCATGAAATCATGAGTGTCCAATTTTAACGTCATGGGATCTTCTTGAACAATTCATGAGCTGATTCAAGAATATAATTCATGAACTTTTCTTCAAAGTTCAAGAATTATTCTTGATCATTTCGCAGGGGTAGAATCCCTGACCTTGGGGCCATGAATTTCATAATTATGGTAGATGACTCAGTGCTCATTACAATCATGCCAACAGTTTGACTGCTTGATGTCCAGGAGTAAAAAAGAAGGGGGGGTATCATAAAATTTACAAATTTTGTTCCCCTTCACCCTTAGATGCTTTGTACCAATTATATAAATCAATATTGGTTGAAATTGGTTGAGAGGTTGCAAGGAAGAAGCTGAAAATGTTCAAATGTTAACACACAGCAGACAAAACAGATAGTAATAGGTCACCTGAGTTTACTAAGGTGACCTAAAAATAGGCCTATTTATAAATACTTATTTTAAATAAATCATAGAATTTTAGTAGGTAGCAGGCAAAATTAGACTTTCTAAGAAAATGTTAACATCCGTTAATTTGATGGAAATGCCGAACATATAAAGATATTATATAAAGCTTAAAAAGTAGAGGAAGCAGCTTACGTCCCCCCGCCCCCACCACACACACACACACACTGACAACCACTGACTATGATAAATAGAGAGCTTTAAATTATACAGTGAGATTAAGAAAACAATAGAAAATAAAAACATAAACTTTGTGCTTTAGTCCTTAATTTCCTAATATAGAGTTACTTAACTTCTTACTACTAAAACATACTTTTTAACAGAAGTATTCTTCATCTTCTCTTTTTTTTCAGATGATTTGTTCCATGGATATCTGAAATTAAAATAGATCGAGTTGGTACAATACCGTACATTAACTTTTTTGTTTTTAGCATGAGCTCAGAAAAGTCCCAAAAACCACTTGCATGTCCATTTCCTTGCACCTGACATGCAGTGAAAATTCTAATGGACACATGACAATGAAAAAATGATTGGAAATTATCACAGTCATACTCTGGTCTAATTCTAAGTGGCAGACACTGGTAGTCCTATCAGGTTATCACAACCTTTACAAGATCTTGCAATGCAATTATATCTGAGAGTGAGAAAAATTAAATAAGTTATAATTTTCCATAAAAACAAGACTACATCTAAATTATGTTTGTTTAAGATATGTAGGCCCTGGCCTCTCCATGTTCTCCGATTCAAAATTATAATTTATTTGATAATTAATTTTATTTCAAATTCTATTTTACATCAAGGGAAAATCATCTGTATAATAAGACACAACTAGGACTCTTCAGTGGCTATTGTTGAAAACTGATTTAATTAGATTTAGTGATAGAAATATGGCAAATGGTAAACAGCTATAAACAGAGAGATTACAAAAGTCTTATTTGTGTATCAGTCATTTTATCAAGTCAATAAAATTTAGAGATCATGAATTTAAAGTATTATGTCAAATTTTCATAATGGGTCACATTGCCAGTGGTTAGAGCGACACGCCTAGAGTTGGGGAGTAAGAGCTGATTCCTACATCACGGGTCTGAATCCAATGTAGTACATAGAGACTGGTCCCTCGGATGAGACTGTGTTGGTGACGTGTCCACATTAATAAAAAGTTCTCTAAAGGGTAACAAATAAATACAAGTATATGACTGTATAATGAATCAATACATGTAACTTAAGAAATTGAAAATGGCCAATTGCCCATTTCATCAAGCTCCAGTCTAGATCATAATACCCACTTCAGGTAAATACTGTTCTGTTCATATCTGATCAAGAGAATCATTTTTATGGTTGTGATTTCTGATGTATTTAGAAACTGCACCACATTTAATACACAAGGTACAATAAAAACGTGGTATTTCTAATGAACAATTACACCATGCACACTACCGGTAAATCAAGTTTTAGGTTGATAAAATACTCTTAATTGTTTCATATAGATCAAAACAGGCATATGTGTCAGCATGAAATTACAACTGATCTCTTAGTTTAAAAAAATAAATATCATTTTAACATTTTACGTTTAATTAATCATAATTATGCCTTGTAAGAAAAGATGTTTATGTATCTTTGTGTATAACTATTTTGTTCACGTACGACAATGTTTCAAAATCATAATGTATGGTATGAAACTTAATAAAATACTTCAACTTGAATAATGTGAGGCATTCTGAAAATTATCAATTCACTTAATTCCCAAAATCTATCTCACTATCCCCAAATCTGCAAGTTCTCAGGAATTTTACTTTCATGACTATACAACATGTACAAATTGGCATTTCACAGTGATACAATACTACACAATGGCATTCTCCGAACATGATGCCTTCTAACATGTCTAATATTTACGATTCTAGACTGCATGTATGTTAAAAATATATTCAACCCCTTCCTCGGCTGTGCAGCACAGTCTTCCATCAATATTATAATAAATACAATTCAGCAAAAAATAAATGTAGGATTCAAGAAACTATTCCTGCGAATAACAATGAACACATCCAGCAGTTATAATGAACAACAAAGCTCACCTTTTCTGAAAGAACATAAGCCTGGGGGCAAATCTTTCGATTTTCCGAAAAAGTAAACACCGGATACAAGTTCATAACGATATTATCCTCTAAAACCAACCTACATTTAAATTTCCGGAATACTACAACACGTATTTCTTTTTAACGTGATCGGGACGATGCAGAAAAACATATTCTAATAATCATACGAAAACATGCAAGATAAATACAATGGTACAAAATGCATGCGGCCGTTTTAACAGCAATTAATTATACGTATCACAACCTAACCTGAGAATGATTTACAAGGCGCTTTTTCAAAATAATTATAACTGTACTATGGTCAATTTGAATTTTTGGAACGCGCCGTTTTGACCAAACTTTATTCTTACGATTGCAGTCAATAAAAACAAAAATAAAGGTGCTCTGAAGTGTAAGAAATAACTACCTGTATCTTATCTGCCGTTTGTGGTGCCTTTCTTCTGTGTAGAGTCAAAAGATCTTATCATCTCTGTTGATTTTCTTGAGCAAGTTCTTGGTGTTTTCTTGGCCATTTTGTCCCTCTTTCTTCTACTAAAAATCTAACCAATGAGAGAGAAGCATTCTATCGCGATACGCCACCTAGTGATTGAATGCCAGTTCACCTTAGTTTTTGCATTTCTCTTTTGGCAATATTTTTTTACGTTTTAATTGCAGACGTCCTTGCATTCATTACAACAGAATGAACAGTTTTAAATGCTTAAATAAAATTAATCATGGAATCGAAGTGGGTATAAAACCGTATTTTAAGTCCCTTATTATCATCATTATCATGTAATTGTTGAAACGGACTGTCCAGATTTTTAAAAATAGATTGAAAATCATATACACATGTACTTAGATTAAAGTGTAAAAAAAAAGTATACAAGTCAACAAAGTTATGCTGATTGCATATTATCCACAAACAAGAGCGATTTTAATCCCCCCCCCCCTTTCTAGTAAGCGATACGAATTAGCTGGTTAAAATTTTACCACAAGTCTGCAGATTTATGTTTATGTTTTTTTAAATCTTAATCTATGGGATACATTTTTATTTGTGTCCTAAAATAGAATAGATAAATTAACAAAGTACATGTAAGTTTATAATCATTGTTATATAGTGAATTATATTAGGTAATGACTAGAAGATATGGCGTAAAAGAAGTCGAACATGAGTTATCGTTCATATAATGAGTTATCGTTCATAAGATGCGTAATACGTCATCACTAGAGACCTATTCACTCGTACATGGAATATTCCACATGCATTAAAATAAACAGAAATGAAATAAATATTCTTTAATAATATATAATACATATTCGGTTGGTAATTTATTTCTTATTTCATCTGTAATTTACAATGGGGTTATTAAATATAAATCCGTATGCTGGAAAATGGAAATGTCAGTAAATATAAACAATTTATCAATATAAATTATGGATAAATTATAGACTAGCGTGGATTGATTTTAATAAAAATAAAAGGAGTTGAGGTATAGTGCTTGATATATTTTCCTTTTATATATTTATTTGTATTTCGGTTAATGCAGTTTGGTACTGTGTATTGTGAATGGAGAATGCACGTGATTTATTTGTATTTCGGTTAATGCAGTTTGGTACTGTGTATTGTGAATGGAGAATGCACGTGGGGGGGGGGGGGGGGGTATTACCAAATGGAGACAGGCAACAAACGTTAATTGTGGGCCTGTAAGAAACGAAAACAAAATGTGTTTAAATGCTGCAATAAGTTCCTCGCTCCAATTTTTCACTCATGGGAACACTAACAATTGCCGTTGGAAAGCTGCTCGACACTCTGGGTAACTGAACAGTGCAGGACCTTTTTCGTGCCAGCACCAACAGCGGAAAGGAGGGGTGGAGCGGTTGTTTGTCAGAGTTAAGGAGCCCACAACCACACTAAAATTATTGAATTATTAAATCTTATGCTTATATTGTAAAGAAAAGGGGGCCCTGGTCCCCTGCACAGTGAGGGATCTTTTTCGTGCCAGCGACAAGGGACCTCGGTTTATACGGTCTCATTGGAGGACCGGTCTCCACGTCCTTAGATGGATTCAAACCTGCAACACAATGATTATCTCCTTAATCAGCGACTTGAAAGCAGACTTTCTTATTACTGTTTCACACGGCGACGCAGATTTCAGTGGAGAATCCATGAATCTTGAAAGGGAAAAGGGGGGATGCTGTTGTTTATCAGAGTTAAGAGTTTGCCAGTGTTAAAACATACAGAAATATAATAAATATTTTAGATAATATTTATTCGATTGGTAAATTTCATTTTATTAAAATTAAAAATTATTAAATTATTAAATCATATGTATATATTCGACAGAAAAAGGGGACCGGGGTGGGGGGGGGGGGGGTGCACTAACCTCTAAGCTAATCCGCCAGTGTAATTGAATGACTATTATACTGAGGTTGTGAGATAGAAATAATTATTTTCTTATTCTAATTAGAAACTTATACTTATACAACAACCACTAATAAGAAATCTGGTATTGTTTCACAGGAATATCCAGCTTAGCGATAAGACTTAATTTCTCACAAAACTCAAGATTTTTCCCCCACGAGGCATATCCTAACTCAATAGAGCAAGGGATACGTAAATCTACAAATCCTACATTTCTCACTATTCGGCAGTTACTACTTTTCTGGGTCTGGTATACCTGATATTTCACACTAGATAATTCGAGTGAATTTTTTTTTTCTCATGTGATCCAAAGTACAAATATATGACATTGTGCTTACTTTATTTATATTTCTTCACTTAGGGCAGTGATGTTTGTTTAATACTTGTTGTAAAATATGATTGAAATATAAAAAAAAATTAATTAAACTAATTATAAAGTCCAAATTACTAGATTTCATTTCTTATCTAATGACCATGTATTGAAGGGCAGCCCCGCGAGAATTCCGAAGCATTTAGGTTATAATGTATAGCGACCATTTTACGTACCTAATAAATGAATGGTCTGATTTTTTGAAGATGGTATCAAATAATGCTAATAATGCTTCACTGAGAATTGTACAAAACTTTGATTTTTGTCCAATTAATTGCACCTTGAATTTTACATTAATTGAAGTTCTATGGGCTGCACATGTTTTTATTTAAGATATTTTAAAAAAGTTATTTGATTTGCAAACAAATATCTTTGTAAATATTTGAATAAACTATATCTTTATTAAGTTAAGATACTTGGAGAAATAATAAATTTTCTTCTTTTCATCAATTGCAGATAACTCTTCATAAACCTTTAAGGTGGAATGTCACACCGACTTTTTATTTTAAAGATCTTTGAGTCATCCTTTTTAAACAATTGTTTCAGCACTGAAAGACTGATATTAGCTCTTGATTATTTATATTAATTTTTTGCAGTTTGACCCATTTGTCATGAAAATTATAAACTTTTACTTTGGCCATATCTTTTGAACAGTAGATGCCAAGACATTTATACTTCACATATGTAATCTTTTTTGAATGACCTTTCATTTGATACCAACAGCCTTGATCCTTTGACCTTGAACTTGTAGATTTCCGTACTTGTGAAGAAACTTTAACTTTGGCTATAACTTTTGAACAGTAGGGGATAGGACTTTCATACTTCAAATACTTCAAATAGTTGATCTTTGTGAGAAGTAACTTCATTGGATACCGAGAATTTTGACCCTTTGACCTTTAAGATTGACCTACTTTAAAGAAGCAAACATTGACCATAACTTTTTAAGTATTATGGCTAGTGCTTTCATACTTAACATATTTAATTCTTGTGAGAAGTTACTTCATTGGATACCAAGAACATTGACCCTTTGACCTTGACGTTGGAGTTTGACCTTCTTTTTAATAAATAACCTAGGTCATAACTTCTGACCGGTTAGGGTTAGGGCTTTCATGCTCTATATAAGAATTCTATGTGGCAAGACCTTTCATTTTGATACCAATTACATTGACATTTTTGTCTTGACCTTAGAGATTTTTGTACTTATATAAAAAACTTTAACATTTTCACAAATTTCACAATTGTTTTCCGTTGAGAATACCTAATTTTTGGTAACTATTAATTAAATTTGCATTTAAAAAAGCTTAATATTTGCTATTTTGCCATATGGGGGCATCAGTGCTACACAAACACATCTTGTTTATTAGGTATTCATATGATGCATTCATTTACAGCAAATTATTTTAAAAGAAAGCATCTAATTTGGGTGTAAATAATCATAATCCTACATGTCATTCATTGCTGATGATTTATTTTAGATTGAAATTATTACCATGATCTTAAAAGGGTTTTCCTACCTACCTGTAGCTTGTACCAGCTAATAATTCGACATCGAACTCGGCAACTCCTTCCCTTTTACGGAAATTAAAAAGATCAGTTTAACCTGAATATATGTCCCCGATCTCAGAGCTTTCTATCACCTACCTGTACCTTGTACCAGATAAGAATACGACAAAATATTCGTCTTATTCCAACCTGTCTTTCATAGATTCTAATTTATTTTATACTGAAATTATTACCCTGATCTTACTTGGCAACTCCTTACCTGTTATGGAGATTCAAAAGATAGGTTTAACATGAAGATATGTCCCTGACCTTTGAGCTTCTTCTCACCTATCTGTATCTTGTATCAGATAAGAATACGGCCAAAATATTGGTTATATTCCTACGTGTCTTTCATAGATGCTGATTAATTTTATACTGAATTTCTTACCCTGATCTTACTAGGCAACTCCTCACCTTTTATGGACATTTAAAGGATAGGTTTAACATGAAGATATGTCCCTGATCTCAGAGCTTTCTCTCACCTACCTGTACCTTGTACCAGATTAGAATACGACAAAATATTTGTCTTATTCCAACCTGTCTTTCATAGATTCTGATTTACTTTATACAGAAATTATTACCCTGGTCTTAGTCGGCAACTCCTTACCTGTTATGGAGATTCAAAAGATAGGTTTTACATGAAGATATGTCCCTGATCTCAGAGCTTTCTCTCACCTACCTGTACCTTGTACCAGATAAGAATACGGCCAAAATATTCGTCTTATTCCAACCTGTCTTCCATACATTCTGATTTATTTTATACAGAAATTATTACCCTGGTCTTACCCGGCAACTCCTTATCTGTTATAGAGATACAAATGATCGATTTAACATGTAGATATTCCCCTGATCTCAGAGCTTTCTCTCACCTACTTGTACCTTGTACTAGATAAGAATACGACAAAATATTCGTCATATTCCTACCTGTCTTTCATAGATACTGATTAATTTTATACTGAATTTCTTACCCTGATCTTACTAGGCAACTCCTCACCTTTTATGGACATTTAAAGGATAGGTTAAACAAGATATGTCCCTGATCTCAGAGCTTTCTCTCATCTACCTGTACCTTGTACCAGATTAGAATACGACAAAATATTCGTCTTATTCCAACCTGTCT